TTACCGACCATTATTTTATATTACACGTAAAAAATTAAAAAATTATTTTAAACATACATCATTTTTTTATTTACTCCCTCCGTAATAAAATAATAATTTTTTTTTGTGGAAACTAATTTTTTTTAATAGTATAATTGTTGCATTTTAAAAATATTAATTTTTTAAAATTATTCTTTGATATATATTGCCTCCGTTTGGGAAGTGGGTTGGCTTTTTGACTTTTTGGCTTTTTTGGCTATTTTAGCCTGGGCTTAAAAGCTTGGTTTGGGAAGGGCTTTTTGGCTTTTTTGAGTTTTTTTGTGAGAGAAGAATGTAATGATTATGGGTTGGATGTGACGTTTTGTTTGTTATGGCTAAAATAGCCTATTTTATTTTTTGTGGCTAAAATAGCCCAAAAAGCCCAAACCATGGCTTCCCAAACGAAGCCATTATTTAAATATCAATTGTCATAATTTTACTTTTTGTGTTATTAATGAATTTAAAAGAATGACAAAATAAAAAATTCATATTATTTTAGTCCTTCATTTTTTAAAATGGACTAATATTTTGGAATAATAAAAAATGGAATAAGGGATTAATATTTTGAGACATATGGAGTACTTTTTTAACCAAAAAAAAAAACAAAAAATATACTTATTTAAAATATGTCAAACAACCCCTTAATTTAAAAACAATTTAGGCCTTATTTGGGAAGTGAGTTGGTTTTTTAGCTATTCTACCTTGGTTTAAAAAGTCTCATTTTGGATGAACTTTTTGACTTTTTTAATTTTTGTCAAATAAAAAATAAAATAATTATGATTTGGATATAACATTTTGTCTTATTAACTTTTTAACTTAGGCCTCGTTTGGGAACAGGCTAATTTAGTAATTTTTTGGCTATTTGGCTAAAAAAGTAGGTAAAAAAAACTTATATGTTTGGGATGACTTTTTAGCTAATTACGAAAAGATGTGCAAAAAGTAGAGAGAAAAGAGAATCTTTGACTTTTTGGTATGAGTTGTTAGTTTTTTGGCTAAAAAGATAACTTTTTAGCTTTTTGACTAAAAAGGTAAGTCCCCAAACGGGGCCGTATTTTGTCTTTTATAGCAATTTTAGCCTTGTAGCCTCATTTATATTCAAAATTAGACACACATTAACAACCTTATGTCATAAAAATACTTTATTATATATAACTCATATTTATATCACAAATCTAAATGACAAATCTGATGTGACATTTTTTATCTACTTTAAAAAAAAATAATAACTTTAGAAGTAAATAAAAAAACGCATGAAATATGAAAGGTCATATTGAAAAAAAAAAAAAAAACTTTTAAAGGTCAAATAAGAAAATAAACAAATATAAAGGGGCAAAGTGTAATTTAACAAAGGGTGGGCCCCAAAGTGTTCGCGACAATCCCCATGGGTCCCGTTTCGATAATCCAGATTAATCAATGTATAAAACTCGTCGAGTACTTTACCTCTACAAAAATCACACTCATTGGATATCGATAGTCTCTTGATTAGATTATATTTTTTTCAATGATAATATAATTTTAAAAATAAATTATTGATAAAATATGTTATGATTTACGAGTAATCGATATTTGATTAATATAATTTTTTATAAAAATAAAATGGTCAATTGGAATAATCGAAATAACACCTAGTCTAACAGCACCACTTTCTCTTTTAACAAAGTTTGGGGTTGTTTGGCATCCCCTATTAGTACATTTTTTTATTTTTTTATTTTTTTTAGGTCACATTATCTTTCTACTTTTTTACATATTTTTTAAAAAAAATTAAAAAAATATACTTATTTAAATCATCCCAAATAATCCTTAGTTTTAGCTATCTTTTGATTCTATTCTTGTCAAGTCAATTCTAGTTTTTGAAATTTAGGAAATCAACCATTCAAGTTTAAAATTAAAATAAGATAATATTAAGATAACGTTTTAAAACTATATCATTTTATTTTAATTTTGAATTTAAACAATTGAATTACCAAAGTAAAATTATTGTGGAGAAAAGAATGATAAAAGATTCTGATCCACAACTTTACACTGAAAATATGTAAATTTTGAACAATAATCATTAACTTGTTTTGGGAGTAAATTAAAATATGACTTTTTAATGTTTTTTGACTTTTTTTTAAAAAATGTAAAAAAATAAAGAGAAAATATGACTCAAAAAAAAAATTTAAAAACCAAAAAATTTCTTTTGACCATATTCTCAACACAACCAATATTGTTTGTGGTGTTCTGGATTACCCTAGGGCCCCGTTTGTTTGGAGAGTTAAAGGAGGGATTGAGATTGGTAGTGAGGTGAGACCCACTAATATTGTGTTTGTTTTGAGAGATGTGAGGGGATTGATGGTGAGCTCCGGATTATCTATAATTAAAATTTCAAATTTCTCTATCTTTCTCTTGTAAATTTTTATCTTAATAAAAAATTCGCAAAAAGATATATTTTCTTTTCTATCTCTTTTTCTTTCACAAATTTTGCTTTCTAATCATACAAAGGCAATTTTAGAGCTCAAGGATTAAAATTTCAAGCTTTGTGTGTTTTTTTGAGTATTTTTGAACAGATGAATATGAGAGAGAGAGAGAGAGAGGGAGAGAGAGGGAGAGGGAGAGGTGTTTTGAGTGTCTTTGAATAGATGAATATGAGAGAGAGAGAGAGAGAGAGAGAGAGAGAGAGAGAGTACTCACATAGGTGTTAAGTTGGCGAATGAAGCTTGAGAAATTGTTGTGCTTGAAGTACCTAGGCAACATGAGCTCCGAGAACTCCGCCGGAGACCATACAACAAATCCAGTACCCTCCCCATTCCACGTCACCACCCTCCTCCCTCCACCACTACCATCACCACCACCATGTGCTTCTGATCTCCTCCTCACTCTTTCTGCTTCTTCCTCCTCCAAAAGATCATAAGTTTTCGATAAAAATGGTGCCGGGCACTTAGTCCTTGGTGGTGGTGTTGGCAGCGGCTGGCCAACTTTCCGGCCAACCTGCCGGTCCGGAAAATCTGTTGCCATGCTTTCTTGGTAGCCAAACAGGACCCTTAGTGCATATTCTTTTACTTATATGCTAAGCCCCCCTAGACTTGGAATTTTGGAAACTACTAATGTCTTGGAAAGTGGCATGTGTCTTTCTTTCATTCTTTCTTTATTTTCTTTTTTACTTTTTGGGCAGAGCATGTTACTTTTTTCCAAGACAAAAACAGATGTTTTTCAACAGTTTGGATTTTCTTGGTGATTTTTTAGAAAAGATAATGGAGGGAAATGTTCTTGTGATTGGGAGGGGATGGAAGTTTCATGGTTTCTCTACACAGAAAATGACATGTGGGTATTTCAATGCTATAGGACAAAGACTTCTTTTAAACTAGTCAGATGTTAGGAAAGATAGGAACTCAGAAAATGGATGGTCGAAATTTGATTTTTATATAATAGAATTTAGGGAGAGTTGTTTATAAGTTCTATTTCGATTACTTATGTTATGTTAATTTTTGTGTAATTTTTTATAGAGTTTCAAGTTCTATTTAAATAGGAATCACTACAAGAATTTACACATTTTGCGACCATTTTTGCCGACCAAAAAAATTTTGGTCGCAAAAAAATAACATTTGGCGACCAAATATTAATTAGTCGCGAATGATCATTATTTTTGCCGACCATATATTATTGGTCGCAAAAGGTTATATTTTGGCGACCAAAAAATGAGTTGGTCGCAGAAAGTGGTATACTTTTGCCGACCAACCAGAAATTTGGTCGCGGAAGGTCACATATTTTTTGACGACCAAAAATTTGATCGCGAAAAACTTATTTTTAGCAACCAAAAAAAATTAGTCGCCAAATTAGTACTTTTAGCGACTAATATTTTAGTCGCCGTTGATTGAGATTTGACGACTAAAAAAATTTGTCGGCGAAAGAACCTATTTTTGCGACTAATTTGATCTTTTGGTCGCCAAAAGTTTGGGGGAAATTTGAAACGTGGGGCGGGAATTGAATTTCAGAAAAAAATTAAAGCCTGATCTCCCTTGGAGGGAACGAGTGGGATTCGGAGACCTTGAAGGTTTTTGTGGTCCCTCATTCGCATAATGACCTTCAACACAGAGGATCGTTGTCTTTGAAGATACAAAAGTAGCTTCCGATCTACTCGATAATCCACGAACACTCACTGCAGCTGAACCCTAATTCCGAACCTTGAAGATCACTCATACATATCTGAATCTTCTGTTTATTCGGATAATAGCAAACAAAAATGGATTCGATTGTTCCTGTAGCTGTGGTTTCGGTCGTTGTAGGATCTCTGATCGCGCTCGCTGTGTTCGGGATCTACTTTCGCAAGAGAAAGTCCGAAGTCGAATCGATCGCACAGCCAGAGGCAATTCAGAAAGCTTCAAAGCCTCTCCAATCAGCCTCTAAGAAATCTCGTTCGAAGCCTCACTCTCATGCCGCTGATAAGGTACCCCCCTCATGTCTATTTCTAGGGCTTCTACGTTTTTCTAGGGCTATTTCTAGGGCTATGGAAGAAGAGAGGATTGGCTAGGAGTGGATGTTAGATTGGTGGGCAGAACTGGTGGTGGGGATGGATCTGCCTCTGTCCATTTCTTAATTTTTCTTGTATTTTATCTCCTAATTTCCATTCGGTGATATTAATCTTTACGATTAATGATTTGGGTCTCTTACCTTCCATTTTTGTTGCCGATTTAATGGGTACAAGTGAAAGAAATTCAAAATCTTTAAAATCTGTTGGTTTACGAAGATTTGAATTTTCTCTCTTTTCCGGCCTTTTCTCAGCAACCAAACAGAGGTTACATATTACTGGGGAACTAGTGTTGGCAATATGTTCTGGTTTCTTTGTCAACTGAATGTGGGTCTCTTGATTTCATTTATCATGTTTTGTTTTGTGGGTTTTTCTTTATTTATGATCATATTGATTATCAATTGTTTTGTTGGTGTAAGAGATATGTCACATATAAACCACTCCCTAATAGGGTTACTAATTTTCACATTTTGCTGACATACTAAGAAGTGGACTTGAAAATGCTTTTATTCACCATGTCAAATGTCAACACACAAAATTTTGTCTTATTTTCCAATTCTAAATTAGTTATAAGACCTTACCTGATCATCTCCTCAGACAGTATGAACAAAAAAGATCAGACACTCCTCTGCAAAACTCGAGAACTCCAGATGCCAAAGTTGAGTATCTCACCTGCAACATCAGAAACATGGGGTTTCAAGCTCCACCTCATAGTATGTGATCTAGAAGGTTTGTCAATACCAAATAAGGAAAATTACACCATCAAAGTACAGATAGAATGGCCAGTTCCTAGAAAGAAATATCCATCCAAAAGAACTATCGAAAGAAATCATACGTCCAATCAGTGCATAAATTCCAATGGATGCATCTGTTGGAACGAAGGTTTTAATCATGAGTGCAAGTTGAGAATGAAGAACTCCAAGACTTTCAGCAGCCAGATGATCAACCTCGAGATTCATGTAAGTACAAGGTCATGACAACTTTACCAATAAATTTTATCATTAAATCGGGATTTAAATTTATATATGAAAAAATTACCAGGGCTTAGGTTTGGAATCAGACAACAGAGCATCAGTTTTGGCCAAATTTAGAATGGATATCACCAAATATGCTGGTCCAACAGAGACTTCAGAGAAAATTATCAAATTTCCAGTCAAGTGCAGCATTGGAAGCTCCACTCTTGTGACCAGACTAACGGTAAGTCGATATTAAATTTTTCATAGCATTACCAAATCCTGCTGCCAAAACACTTTGAGAAAATTTCCAGGAACTGAATTACAGGTGAAACTCAAACTATGTCTAAGATTACCACTAGTCCTAAAGGCTTAAGCTGTTAGGAAATAGGCCCAACAATATATATCAAACTATCCAACATTAAGATCTAGAAATCTTATTAATTCCAACACCTACACAAACATACAATGACATATATCTGACAAATGCACTCATGTCCATCTAACATAGCCTGCCAATTTAGCATTGTCTGCAATATACCAAACCAAATGTCATAATAACACAGTCAAAGTACAAGTGCCCTGATTTTGGCCATAGTACAGATATCTATCTTACTAAAAGAAGGATAAAGAAACAAAATATAAATAACAAAATAAGGAGCATTCAGTATTAATAATGAACAATGTATGCAAACATTCAAATGTACCTTTCCTTCTTTCTTTTTTTTCCCTTTTTTTATTGAAAGTACATAAAATACATAATGATTTTAGATTACACTTTAATATCATCAAATACAAAAGTAACATATTCTACATGCAATTTAAGATCACAGCTAGTACGAATACATATAATGTCACTAAATAGTTGTAATTTCCTTATACAGCTTTTAGAACCTAAATTGATGTGGGCAAGAGAATCAACAAAAAAGGAAACACAAAAAAAATTTAAAGAATTCAGTGCAGACAGAGACATGGATTAGAGAGCTTCAACCTCATGATATAGGTTGGCGAAGTGTGACTGCAGAAACTGCACCATTGCCTGACAAGATGCATACAGCCCTTGGCCTCTGTTGTGAAAATGACAATGTCATAATTACAACTTCTAATTAGAAAGACATCGCCTTCATAGCAAGAGATGTGGGTCTAAATCCTGCCAAACATAAAGTTATTTAAATACATAATATATTCTCTTGACATTAAATAGAGTAGAAACACTAAATAGAGTAGAATATGAATAAAGAGTAAGTGGGTAACCTTTATTTTAAAACCTAAAACAATTTGCAGTGTGTGTATGCTTAGTTCAAAACCTCTGAAGATGTATTTTGACATTTTTGAAAGAAAAAAAAAATGTTAAAAACCTGTTGGTTCTGAGAGGATGTGATTGGATCCTATTAAACCCTCTCATTGCCAAAATGATATTGAAACATGCATAAGTATTGGTTATTCTCGAAGTAAAGACATTTAGAAGTTGTATTATGACATTGTCACCAAGAAAAAAAGTTAAACCTTATCGAAATCTATCCAAACCGATAGTTTCAAGAATAAGATGAATTGTAAAGTATGAATCAAATTGTGACTCCTGCGAATCAATTATCTCTCAAAATAGATTCATCTAAATATTTATGCATGATCGTGAATGGTAAGATTCTAATAACAGATATTGGAACTAACATGTGTTGAAACCCTCAAACTATTTGAGCAAATATGATACCTTAAAAGGTAAGCCAAGCAGTACCTCTATGTTAAGTTCAAGAAGCTAGAAGTGCGAAGATGATCTCTACATGCAGCAAAAGAAGTGGTACCCAAGACCACTATGAAATGGCCAAATAAACCCCAAAGAAAAAGTAATTAAACAAAAATAATGGTGTTATTGAACAAGGATAATTGAAGAATTTAAACAATAATAAAAAAAAAAACTGATATACCAACTCAATAAATGGTAGGAGAAGTAAATGAGCTGATAATGCTGTTATTTTGATTTTGGAGAATATATATAGGCACACAACTAGAAGTTTTCTAGGGTTCGTTGACTTTTTTTTATTTTTTTTTCAAGTACATTAGTTAGATATGAGAAGCAGAATGGCAATGGGGGTGAAGAAAAGTGCTGATATGTTGGCTTATACTGCCATGGCCGCAACATGTTTGATAGTTTGCCTATGAGAGACTTCTAAGTTGCTTCTTCTCAGTTGTCAAAATAGCACACACACTTGGAGACACTGTTCTTATACACACTACTGTAACTTACAGCACTGTCACATTACATTCAAAAAACAAATTACTTTACAAAATCAAAAAAAAAACAAACAAACAAATAGAGAGAGAAATTGTAGGATAGTTGATGATAGTAATGACCAGTGAGTGAGTGAGTGAGTGACAGATGATGAGTAAACATTGTTACTCTCCCTGATTGGGAAAGAACAAGACTTTAGTCTCTATACCTCTTCCTTCTTCTCCTCCTTCAAATGGAAAAATGTTTCCTATCCTTTGGTGCTTGGTTTTCTACCATTTTATTATGTGGCCTTTCATTTAAGCAGAAAACATAATTATGATACTACCTAATTGGCCTTTCATTTTATTATGTGGCCTTTCATTGTTACCTTCTTTACCCACCAAATTGACTGTACTACCAAAATACCCAAACAAAATAATACTACCAACAAACCACAACTTAATAGATATGATACCAAGGCATAACCCTTTAACTTGCCTTTTTAATAGAAAATTACCATTTGGAGTCGGTTTGCAATTTTGGCCTAAATACTCTACTCAAGCAGCACTACTCATTCTTCTTTAGAGAATCAACTCTATTACTGTCACAAGAAACATGCTCTCCCATGAGAGGAAAGCCCTCAACCCTTGGGCATATTAAAACCTTGGCATGCTCAAATTCTTAACTCTAAGCCTCTTTTAGACCAAATTATTACTGCAAAGATTATGAAATTATTGCCGCAACAATACTACATAAAAGAAAAACCAACATCTAAAGATAGGAACTTGAGACAATTTCTAACAAGTTCACATAAAGAGAAAGGCCATGAATCAATTAAAGCAAAGAGGATTTGACAAAGGCATTGGACAATGCATGGATTTTAGAGTGTTGTGTCATTCATTGAGCTTCAGAAGAGCATTTTAATGTCTACTTGAAATGAACCAAAAAAAAAAAAAATCTATTGTTATAACTTTGTTATTAGATAGCTGGCACTTAAAGTAACATTCAAGATCATAGATTTCTACTGCGCATTTATGTGTAAAATAATGATGGTGCCATTCAATGGTTGTGCTCTTGATTTTCAAATATTTAAATAAATAATAGGAAAGCCCAAAAAGAGAAAGCAAGATAAAAGAAAAATAAATAGAAGGCTGGGAAATAGTTGTTAGTACTTCTAGCTTTACAACTTCTTTTGTTTCATTTTGTTTATTATTTATTATTTTTTTAACTGGTTCAACTTACCTATTGATTTGAAATTGAAAATATGATTAAATACGTTAGATGTTACTTATGAAAGAAATTGCCTACATTGTTTGGCTTTATACATAGCAAGTAATTCCCCATGAGTAGAAACATATGGAAGTGTATTGATTCTTTAATTAGAATGACATAGCTAGCGGTTTGTGGTTTACCTAATTATTGTTTTTGGTGAAATAAAAAAGGGGGGGGGGGGTTGTGCGCTCTCATTCCATACCACTATATATATATTCTCTACAATTGTGAATTAGAGTGAAAGTCTTTTTAAAAAGTACCTAATTACCTATAAAAGCAATAAGTTGGTCATTTTCACTTATGGTTCTTTGGGGTTGACTTTTAATGACATTTGATCATGGTCATATGCTCAGATTCTAAACTAGTGTCTAATTTGAGCAAGATGAGACATCTGGATCTAAGTTATAATAATTTTGACGAGGATGCCTTCAGGATTTTGGGTGCTCTCCCATCCCTTAAGTTTCTATCCTCAGTGTCCAATAGCATGGAAGGACCACTTTCTAACCAAGGTATGTGTATTTTTTATTTCTCAAATTCATGCTGCATAAGTTAATTTTTTTAGCTCCATTTGAGTGTTGAGAAGACTTAAAATAGTTGGAAAAATGAAGTCTTACAGCTAGCAATTTGTGCAAAATTATAGTTCTTTGTCAAATATATCTTTCTGAAATTTATTACTGCCATCAATGGCATCATTGTCCTTAAATTTTTTTAACATTACATTTTCATTTGAAATTGCGCTACTAATTGAGGTGCCCATAGAATATAGTTCACAACATCAAATTATATTTATCTCTATTTTCTTTACCTCAATCTAATTAACGAGTCTCTTCACTTGGGTTACAAAATTGACTTATAATCTTAGCAATTTGAAGACTTAAAATAGTTGGAAAAATGAAGTCTTACAGCTAGCAATTTGTGCAAAATTATAGTTCTTTGTCAAATATATCTTTCTGGAATCTATTACTGCCATCAATGGCATCATTGTCCTTAAATTTTTTTAACATTACATTTTCATTTGAAATTGAGCTACTAATTGAGGTGCCCATAGAATATAGTTCACAACATCAAATTATATTTATCTCTATTTTCTTTACCTCAATCTAATTAACGAGTCTCTTCACTTGGGTTACATGTTGTTTAATAATCAAATTTAATAATCCCTTCTTTTTTTGATATTTTATTGATACCATCATTATTATTATTATTAAAGTCAGCCCTCTAAGTTTTAAATTGGTGTTGGTTGCTTCAGCCATTGTTCTCTTTCAATTAGCCAGCATATTTGTGATTTTTTAGGTCTTGTTTGTTCCTATGTTTACTTCGATTTGTAGTAGCACTTTCATTTCAAAATGCATCTGCCACTGCCAGTATAGAAGTAGAATAGTGTTTTGCTGATTTATTTTTCATTTCTACTCATATTGTGTCCTCTATTGAAATAAATTAGTATGAAATCTACGTTGACTTCGATCATAGGAATACAGAGCATGGATTCTGCGAGACTGAACGTTTTGAATTATTTGTTAACAAGCGTGAAGTATGTCATAGCAGCTAAGGATTTCTATTTAGTTCTTTATTATTGTTATTTTTTTAAAATAGTGATTTTCTAAGGATTATGTATATATATACTTATATTTATATTTTTTCCTTGCATGCCATCTATGTTCTGTACGTAGGTTTGCAATGCATACACGGAGTTGAATGATCCTGTGGTACAACGCCAACGGTTTGCTGACCAACTCAAGGTATTATGATCATTAGGAATTGAATCATTGTGGCATGTAAAGTCATGTTGTGTGGGGTGCCTTGACTGAAG